GTGTGTGTGTGTGTGTGTGTGTGTGTGTACACACAGAATCATCTCTGGCAATTGGAATCCTGCTGGTTCCTATATTCTCTTTAGATCCCCAGAGAGAAGCCAAAATAAGATGTAAAATACTCCCCAGGGCCTTTTTAAATTTTTTTTTAAAGAACTGGAAAGCGTGGAGCAGAAAAGCGACAAAAAAGAATCGCAATTTTACCGCAACGGCACCGGATCCCCCTTTTTGCTGTTGCAAAATAGCAACGGATGAATTCCCTATAGCTCTGCCCTCTATACCTCTATCACACTCACCTTCCTTCCTTCCTTCCTTCCTTCCTTCCTTCCTTCCTTTCTTCTTCCTCTTCTTCTTCCTCCTCCTCTTCTTCTTCTTAAGAAGATGTTGGATAACCATTTGTCTGAAGTGGTGTAGGGTTTCCTGCCTGAGCAGGGGGTTGGACTAGAAGACCTCCAAGGTCCCTTCCAATTATGTTATTGTATTGTATTGTATTGTACTGTAACTTGAATTCCCCAATTGAAAAACCAGCAGAAGTGGAGAAGGACCATGTCTCCTATTTTAAAGTCCCTGGGGGGAAAATATATATATATATATTGTTAAATTTGGCCCACGTAAACCTGCCATTTAAAAACATTTGACAATTCCTTGTGATTTCCAGGAAGTACCTGCTGACTAAGCCAATACATCTGGCGGTGGAGGAGACCGGGGTGTGCCAATTACACACGCTGACCGAGGAACCTGGGGAAACTGGATTTGGGGTAACGACAGGTATGGAATTTAAAAACCGAATTGTCAGCGTCTTTGTGGGTTGATGGTTATTTTTTTGCTTCGTTTGTATAATTATGGGACTGCGAAGCTTAAGAAGACATCGCTTCAGAGGAGAGATTTGCTGAGTTCAGTATTTTCACACAGGCCGGTGTTTTTCAACCACGGTGGCTTGAAGATACGTGGACTTCGACTCCCAGAATTCCAGCCCCGCTGGGGAATTCTGGGAATTGGAGTTTCATGCATGCTGGCTAGGGAATTCTGGGACTTGGAGTCTATGCATATTGGCTGGAGAATTTTGCAAGTTGAAGTTTACAAACCTGCCTGGGGAATTCTGGGAGGTGGAGTTTCATGCATGCTGGCTGGGGAATTCTGGGAGTTAGAGTTCACAAGGCTGGCTGGGAATTCTGGGAGTTGGAGTCCACCCATCTTAAACTTGCGAAGGTTGAGAAACATTGACGTAGCCCACACTTCGTATTCCCTTGATGGCAGTTTTACAGTAATTAAAAATAAAAAGAGTCAGATGAATTTGTGAGAGGAAAAAAACCCCCAGGATGTAGCAAATTCAAACAACACCTTTCCGAATGCCTGAAAAGGAGACCGGCTGTTATCGCCAGAAAAGCTGACCTTTATTTTATTTGTTTAAAGAGAAAAATGCTGTCAGGTGCCTTGAAAAACAAGCGGCTAGTGCATATCACGCTAATTATAAAAGTCCAGAAAAAGGATATGCATAATGAGAAGTATTGTAAATGCACCTCCCTTTTTTGATAGACCGAAGAGAAGCTATTCCTCCATTTAATTATATTTTCTCTCAAGCCAAACAAGGCTGAGATAGACAGACAGATGAGGGCCAATTTAAAAAATGAAAGAGCTGAAGCTAATCTCCACCGTAAAAATCTGTTCCCGGAGATGTCGAAATAACTCCTCCCATCCTGGTTTGTTCCTGAACCATAAATAACCCATCAGCCCACTGTTTGCTTTGATGGGTGGCCTCCATAAAGATATATGGGTAGTCCTTGATTTACGACCTTACAAGACACTGAAAGAAGTGACTTACAACCGTTTTTTCACACGACTGTTGCGGCATCCCTGTGTTGTGTCCTGCCAGCAGAGCTGGCGGCAGGCTCAGACAGTGAGGAGGTTGGGGAGGGACGTGAACCAGTCCTGGAGTCTGGAGAAGGCTCCGTCGAGGGCTCCGCATCGGAGGCAGAGAGGGGGCCAGGGCCATCCAATAGTTATCAGCTGCCTTCGGAGTCGAAGATCAGTGAGGCAGAGGAACAGCTGGAGCCTGGTCCCAGTGTGCGCATGCGCAGAGCTGCCAGGAGAAGGGAACAGTTAAGGGACCAAGGGCCGACTCAGGAGCAAAGGCACAGGGGGACAGTGAATGGCCCCTCCCAGAGGGAATAAAGAGGAGCGAAAGGGGAGTGGAGTTTGCAGGAGGCCATTAATTCACATAATGAGTGTGAAAATCTGTTCGTGACTCTCAGGGACTCCTTGCCAAGTGTTTTCTTGTAGAGCATTGTGTTTGGAAGAAATCGGCCTGGCAATTCTCCAAGCCTGATAAGGTCTGTGGTTGTCAATTCACCCTTGGGCTCAGTTTCGGTCGTAAGTTGAGGCCTGCCTGTATGTTGTGTTTATTTGCTCTAAGCCGGTAGAGATTCTCAAGTCTTGGTTGTCCCCAAGGTGCTTTTTCGAGAGGCAACTGGACTTTCTGGTTTTTCTTTGAAGAGGTTTCACTTCTCATCCCAGAAGCTTCCTCAGTTCTTCTTCAGAATTGAAGAGGCTACTAGGATGAGAAGGAAAACATTTTCATAGGAAAGTCCATGGAGATTCTTAGTCCTCTAGGTCATGGTTGCCTCAAAAGTTCTTTTTTCAGGAAGCAACTGGGCTTTCTTGATTTTTCTTTGAAGAGGTTTCACTTCTCATCCCAGAAGCTTCCTCAGTTCTTCTTCAGAATTGAAGAAGGTGCTTGGATGAGAAGCAAAACATTTTCAAAGAAAAGTCCTTGGAGATTCTTAGTCCTCTAGGTCATGGTTGCCCCAAAAGTGCTTTTTCGAGAGGCAAATGGACTTTCTGGTTTTTCCTTGAAGACTTTTTCGTTCTCATCCAAGAACTTTCTTCAGCTCTGACTTCGTTTGCTCTGCTTTTCTGCCCAGGGGTGGACACCTACGTGCCCCAGGCTGCCTCTCGGGATCCGCTGTCTTCCGAGAACTTAAGCCGAGCCGTTGAGCAGAAAATCAGTGCCCCCAACCGAATATTCTCCGGCCGGGAGGATTATGCAACAGTGGTGGTCGGATTCCCAGATCTCATGGTAGGATTTTTTTTTTNTAGCCACAAAAATAATATTAACGTGGACGTATTAGCAAATACATGGCAATTGACTAAAAGAAAATAACACAGACTCGCACTAAGCCAGGAAGTAATTTCTAAAGTGCTTTTTTTCCCCCCACTGGGATAAGAGAGACGAGAAAGAGGAACATTCCCACCCCCTCCTGCTCATTTACCTCCCCTCTCATATCTTGTCAAGATTAATTCCTGTGCACAGCTATAGACCTCCAACCTAGAAGGAAAGATCCTGCCATTTGCTTTTCAAATGCTCCTGAACGTCTCTGTTGTGGTTGAACCCGAGTCAGCAGAGTGGCAAAAAAAAAACCACTGGGGCTATTTTTGTGCGGTGGGAGGGGGGGGCGGAGAGGAGAATGAGGGCAGTCATATGGCAAAATTAGTTCCTAAACCGCTTTTAAAAAATTAGGTCAGTTAAAAGATTTCGCCCTACAACCTTTTGACCTCCTGTTTACTTAATGCTAAGCCTCTCAAATGAATGGGAATGTGCGTGGCATAATGCCTGTTTGCTGTTGAAAAATGTTATATCACTGCCCAGGTTTTCCAGCCAGTGTATATTTGAGAAAAGTCAGGATCAGCCTTGATGGCCGAATGGCTGCCTCTGAAGGACATCTGCTGGGAGACTGGTGGACTTCCTGGTGGGCCATGGTGAGAACAGGCAGCCGAGCCAGATGGGGCCAGGGGGTCTGAGCCAGCTGTTTGCGTTCATGTGAATAACATTTATTTTAGTGTTGAGTTTTCAGCATGGGAGAAGTCGTCGTCAGATGTGAAAGACTAGATTCACACATGAAGTTTCAATAAACTGTTTTTTTTTGCTGAAAGCCTATGCACAGGAATTTTTTATTGCTAAAAGCTTATTACTAAAAACCTATGCACAGGAATCCTCTCAACTAACAGTGGACACCTGCTTAGAGTTAGATAAGAATCAATGGCAGGGATGAAATCCAATAGGTTCTGCGGAACCGGTAGCAAAAACTTTTAAGTAGTTCGGGGAACCGGTAAATACCATTCTGGCTGACCCCAGAGTGAGGTAGGAATGGAGATTTTGCAGTATCCTTCCCCTGGAGTGTGGTGGGAATGGAGATTTTGCAGTATCCTTCCCCTGGAGTGTGG